ATCCTTGATTTCATGAAAAACGCTGTTGATCCCGATCCCATGATTTGCGATCCGAGATCCCTGAACCCACCCCTATTTGGGCCTTTGATCCCTGATCCCATATACCTCGTTACGACCCTGCTATCGCTACTACTTTTAAGGCCGAGCAAAGTATACATGAGCTACATGTATGTTAAAGCTACCTAATGTTGCTCAGCAGAACTGTTTATTCCTTATATGAATGAGGGAAATGCATTTAGCTGTGAACTGCATATTCAAACACTTACGTACGTACTAATTGTTCTTACCTTATAAAAATATGTCAACGCCAAAACCATCTGAGGCATCACATGATGTTCGAAACATCAGTTGCCATGACGATTATTGCCAGCCTCTCACAACTTACGCGGCCTCGATCCCAGCTCATTCTTGAAGTTTATCCGGGTAAGCGGGTTGTTTTTGAACCGAGTCTACATTTTACCCCTGGTCTACAGTCTTCAGTCTGCATTTTACCCTCGGTCTGCACTTAACCCCCGGTCTGCAGTCTGAAATCTGCAGTCTTCCTTCAACACTGACTGATATAAAAAATAAAACGTTGACCATATAAAAAGTCGAATTGATCATATTAAAAGTCGAATTGACCATTTAAAAAGTAAAAAGTTGACTATATAAAAAGTGAAAATTGATCTTACTAAAAGTAAAAAGTTGACCACAAAAAAGCTCGAGCTGGCAATATAAAAAGTAAAAGTTGACCGTATAAAAAGTCGAACTGACCACGTCAAAAGTAAACTGGGTCACAGAAATACAGAGGGAATATTGACTGGTTTGGCGCCCAATAGAGAAAACTTTACCGTTTGAATCAGCGAATTGTTCCTGTACCGGTAGAACCGCAGCATTGCCAAAAGCGAGCAAGGTAAGAAATACGATACCTTGAGTCAAACATGTCGTCGAAGTTCGTGCAAACTCACCGATGTTTTCAATCCTAGAATGGTGTTATTGCTGACATCAAGTGAATCCAGCTGTTGTAGATGTTCCACATTCTCTATCTTTATAATGAGATTTTGTTGTAGGTACCTAAATCAAAGTCAATATTTAATAATGCAGCCATTGAACACAAAGCTGGCAGTATATGTTGTCCACTACAAATGTGCATGGATGGGTACTCAATGTAAAACCACATATCCGTTTAAAATATCATAGAATCTTAATGCGGTCTGTCTAGGAGAACACGATCCATTGGATGACAATAAAGCCATGAGGTAAAAATCTGCAAACTTATTGTGGTTGTCTTGTCCACTGCAATTTACCTTCCAGCATAATTTTGGCTTTACTGGAACATAGAGGCATTTTGGTGAAAATTCTCAAGAGCATAAAAAAAACCCTGGTCTAGTCTCAAAACAGGCTTCATCTAGTGGATAAAGGTTAACTGTCATCAAAATCTGGTCAAATTTTTTTTTTAAATTCCATTCTTTTTGCTTTTTACTTAAAGAAAGCAGTTAAGATTAATTTGCCAAATACATTTTACAAAATCTTCAAAAGAATGTGATACAGCTAAAAAAATTTAGGGGAGCCTCTGCCCCATGATTTTTCAGGAAGGCACTCTATTTTGTTCACAGTAACCTTAATTCCGCACCGATAGAGGAATCTCATTTTGATGGTAATCAGTGTTAAACAGGCAGTAAATCTCACTGGTTACTGTCTGAAAAGGCCGCAAGCCCTAAACAACAGCGGCCAGATCCTTGGATCCAGAACCCAACAAGTTTGCTATTAGGTTAATTGGTATACTTCACACATTTAGAGTGTGTAAGAGACCAGAATGTATATAAAGTATTAATTGTCATTGGTAAACGTTTGGTATTATAATAGTCATGGAAAGTGCTCACTTAGAATTACGGTCAAGTCGCCGACGGTTCAACTGGCCAACGCCAACTCACCGACGTATAAAATCGAGTACAGACGTCGGCGAGTTGGTCTTTAATCCAGTACAACTCATTAGAAGTTAAACATATAGAAAAGTACAATATCTTTGGTAAAAAAACAATTTTGTTTTCTTCCAACAAAGTTTATAAGGATCGTATGGCGAATAAAGCAATGTAAACATCACCAATGACTATAAAAGCTTCAGACGCGAAAGAGTTAAACATTACAAGTAAACTGAAAAAGGTCCTTGATACTAAGGGGGGACAGCATATTTGACATGTCTTGCACACATATGTGATAATTAATTTTTATCAACTGAACTGATAATGTAAACTGGCCACTGTACAGAGTTCGTAATGCTGACATTTCAAGTTTTACCCCAAATGTTGAGTGTTTCACTTTGATGAAAGGCTAATGATCAAAATGTTAGCTTTAGATTAACCCTCTACCATGGCCAATTTACATTATCAACTCACTTGATAAAACCAAATTGTCTTGTAGTACTCCCACAGATGCAGCACTAAAGTTTCTTTCAAAATAAATGTACCCGTTTCAACACATATATTGTCTGGTTAACTAAAAATGATTGTGAAAGTATGTTTGGTGTCCAACAAGTCAGAGAGAAATAAATATGAAAGCAATCTTTGCAGAATGAGCAATACTTCCCTTACGAAATGGATTTTGGAATTCCTAGGAATAAGAGGTGTGAAATTCCCAGAAATTCCAAGTTTATATCCAACAGGACTTGGAATTCCTAGAAATTCCAACTCAGAGCACTAATGACTTTCCCTGAAAAGCTGTAAATCAAAAAAAAATTCCAAGGAATTTCTAGGAATTTTCAGGAATTTCAAGGAATGTTTGAGAATTACTGAGAATTTTAAGCAAAAATAAAATATAAAATAAATACTAAAAATGAAAAAATCCCAGCTAAAATTCAAGTATTCAATGAAATTTATTTACAAGCTTAATTAAGGTTTACATGTAAAATATTTTTGATTGTATATTGACATCGACATGTAGTAATATTAGGATGGAATTTGATGTATTTTTCTTTTCTAGAAAACTTCAGATGAATTGATCCTCAATTACAGCTATTCATGTAAAATAGTGCTAATAAATCATTAAATTTGGTTTGACACAAATTGTGAATAAAATCTGCTGATTTTTTTCCATAAAATACAATATCTTAAATCATATTTATTGCAATAAATACTGTCTGTCTAAAAATAGTTTCAAAATGAATCATTTAATTTTGGATGATGATGCAAATGGTATTTAACCCTTTCACTCCCAGAGACCGGCTTTGATTTGATTTATGTGGTTGTAACTTATTTGGATAAACTCTTGTGTGTGAACATTCAAATTTCCCTCATTTTTATAAAAGAAAGATACCACATTAGGAAGTTTAAGAGATACATAGATGATCACCGTGTATCAGTACCTAAATCAACAAAGCTTGACCGTTCCAATACCGCCATCTCGATGACTCAGTCTGTCGTTTCCACTAAACTTAAAGCAGTGGTGCCAACAGAGGAGAGTGCGTCCCATAAAGGAGAAACATTTGTTCAAGAGACAGAAGCAACTATATGCGATTACAGAGGTGCGTTGGAACTCTGGTCCACAAATGGTTATGCACTGTCCGAGGTATAAAACAATTTTGTTGATAGCTGACAGACAGAGAAGAACAGCAAGTAAACTTTAGAGCTGTTATTATTGAAGTATGACTTGCACTTTTCATTTGTATACAAAGAAGGACTTGTATTTCGCACCAAAAATAAAAAGAAGTAATATTTTTGAGAGATTCAGTGATTGGGACATTTAAGAAATTAAATTATGAAAGGAAACTCAGTTTGTGCTTCTCACTACTAACAAGTCTTGTTTTAAAAATATTTTCAGACCAGAGTTTCAAATAAAGTAAACTGACGAAGTAATTTAAAAGGTGTTTTTTTTCTCAAAGGGAACAGTGACTACCTCTGTCTTGTTTGCATGCCAAATGTTTGTGAAGTGTGCAGATGATCCACAAGTATTTGAACTCTTACAAAAATGTTTTGTAAGAATAAAAACAGCAAAACAAATTACAGCAATCAGTCACAAAAGCTGAGCTAAAACACTGAAAATAAAAAAAACAGCAACAAAAATCATGAAAAAAGAAAGATTAATTAGGTGTTGAATTTGTTTATCTAAGGCATGAAATTTCTACTGAAAATAATGTGAACAGGAAGTCTCTGACAGTGTGTGAGGCAACTGAGCTTGACTGTTCCAAGGTTTTCTAACAAAGGCAACCAGTCATGTAGATTAGGGAAGTAACTTATGTTCATAACTAACAAAGTTCTTTAAGTGTAAACAACAATGTAATTATTGTTACACATGAGGAAGTTGTGTACCAAGGAATAGCTGATGAATGTGTATGATTTTGGCACATCTGTGAATATGAGACATTTTGCACCACAATAAAAACTTTTGTGATCATGGACTCCAAGAGTCCTTTGAGGTTAGAAAGCAAATCTGTGATATGAGTACATTGGATTAATTGGCAATTTACATTTAACATAATTGACTGCTGCTTCGTGAGAAAATCCATATTAATGTAGAGATATACTAAAACTTATTTTGAATAATAAATTTTATGATCTTTAAGTTATAAACAAATGTATATCTCTTGGTAAATTTTGTATAGCGTACCTTTTCTTAAAACCTTCACAAGGTATTTTCTTGGAATTAATTTGGACCTCAGGGTATTTAAATTACCTCAAATTCAATTCCCAGAAACTCCTAAGAGTTCCACCTTTCTTAAATTATAGGTAGTTTGTATAACTGAGAATTCCTAGGAATTCCTATGAATTCCAAGTCCTTACAAAACTGGAGTCTTCCTTTCCCAGAAATTCCCAGTAATTCCAAGCTTTTCAAATCAGAGCTTATTTGCATAGTTGGGAATTTTTGAGAATTCCTAGGAATTCCCAAAAAACTGGGAATTCGGTTCGCAAGGATTAAACAGTAGTGAAAGTAAGGCCTGAAAAAATTGAAAGAAATTCCCAGTAATTCCAAGCTTTTCAAATCAGAGCTTATTTGCATAGTTGGGAATTTTTGAGAATTCCTTGGAATTCCTAGTTAAACATCTTTATTTATCTACCTTTGAGGGATATTTTCCATTTCTTTCCTTATAAATCGATATCAAAGACTTGTAATGTTTGGCTATTTTCTATTAGATGACGTTTCGTAGAAACTTCACCAACTTGAAATTGAAGGATAAAACATTTCAACGATACTATCTGCATTCACCGAATCAAGTTTCTATCGAAATACAGTTGTTAATTCGCTCAGAAATTTCTATTAAAGACTTCCGCTATTAACAATCAAACTGAGGTTTGAAAAACATCATAGTACAGACAAGATATAGAGTACACACTACAGTTCCTATTTTTCCTTAATGCCTTTAGCTTTTATAAAAAGTTAAAGAGTTATTGCGGTGTAGTTGTTCGCATTCTCCCTTTTATTTCTTCGATGCTTTTTCATAAGCCCACTGTTCGTAAGTTATCTCGCTGGAATTTCCCTTGTCCTTCAGCAGTCCCTCATACCTATTCCTTAGAGAACTCGCCGATTCGCTGGAATCACAAGCAGACCTCGCTCTGTCTGCAATACTCTGGTAATTTTTCTCTGCTTTGTAATGCTTCTTTTGTGAATCATCCACCGCATTGTAGCATTGTTGAATAACGAATGTGGCAACACCGAGGGCGATCACCCCTATGAAAGCAAGCGTTGTTTTAGGATTATCTGGTTGCGGTGTTTTCCAGCCGAGAGCTTTGTAGCCTGCCAATAACCCGCCTACGATAAGAAGTAGGACGAATAGAATAGCCTTCCAGTTTCCGTAGTATTCTGCACACAAATTGTGGGCACGTGAGTGCACTTCCATTTCATTTTGTAATCCACGGATGTTATTCTTTACTCTAGCCCGTTCGTCTTCCTCATTTGAAAAAATTCCACCCATCAGGTTGGCACTTGGCAGTGATAATCCAAAAATGAATCAAAAAACCTTTTAATCTTAATGCAGACGAACCCGGAAGTTAAACAAAAATGAAAGAGGTAAGATCGACCTGAGAGATGTGGGTTCTAGTCACTAGGCGTACTCTCATGTTGTGGTCTGGGGGAAGTATATATATATATATATATCGGTGGTTCGTTGCTATGCGATTGCGTCCCTCTCGTCACGTGATCCAACAGGCCTTTGTTGTTTTCGCGTCCGATGGCTCAGTAGTAGTGGAGATATTGAAATTCGCTGCTCGGCAATACAATGAACAATATGAATATATTTGCATTTTACACAGTTTCCCAACCTTCCAGTTATGGCTTTCTAATAATAACGCCTGCATACGCTTCCGTTTGGAGACGAAAAGCGAGTTTTAGTCAGTCCCTTTCTGAGAAAAATTCCTTGTTTAAACGCTACCTAAAAAGGTCAAAATCCTTACTTTCAGGGGTAGGTATATTCTTCCCATAAGAAAGCATCTTTTTGGTTTCGGGACTCTCCTCCCTCCCTCCCTTAGGATTGTGTTTTCGAGGTGAAATCGTTAATGAATGTGAATTTGTCGCGTTGTGATGGGGAAATACATCCTGGGTAATCTTCTATTCTCGTTGTATCCAACCTATTACAAATAAAAAGGCTTTATCATTATATATAGACTCCATTTGTTTGTATTTTCAATCGTGGTAACCGTAAATTTGTACATTTCAAACCCCGATTTTATCAAGCGCTCGATGGTTCTTGCTGGCAGCTATATTGGATTCTCTACAGATCACTGATTATTGTGTGTCATTACGGCAGTGACAAGACCATTCGAGGAAGAATCTTCGTATGGCCAGCAATTTTTCAGGGGATAAACGGGACGATGGATAAGCATAACAATCCTGAACGTCGAATTCGCGTTTGTCTGGCCATGTTGAATAACTTAAATTTCTTGCTCACTTTGCAGTCGCAGACCTCTGTGCAGAAAAAGCAGAAAATGCAATTAGCCGAATTCTCACCAAGGACGCTGTGATTCTAGTATAACTTTTCACGCATTTTGGAAGAGTTTATCTTCACATGTAGCTTTGAAAAGAAAAGGAGTTACAAGAACCGTGAAACAAATGGTTATCACTGGACATTGAAACCAAAAAGGCTCGGCTGGATGAATTTGGTAATGTTATAACTTTGAGTGTTTTCGAAACGTGCAAAAAATTTCATTTTTACCACCATGCTACTCTGAAGTTCGAACGGAAATAAGTTATGTATGTACAACATTCTGTTCCTTTTGTTTTTTTTTAAGAGGGACAAATACAAACTTCTGCTGATCAGAAAGATGCAGTAGAAGTAGAGCTACAAAGCCTTCAATAGGGTGTGGAAGAAAAGGAAGATCAAATAAAGCAACAAGAGGAAAAAGTAACACAAATTAAATGAGCATTATCTCAAATTTAAATCTCTGCTTGAACAAAAGGCTTTTCAGTAGCTAGGAGAAAAATGCTAGTGCAACTTATGATATGATTACAATGTCAATTCCAGCACTAAGTACAGACGAAGACAGGAGACAAAAAATGTATTA